GGAGGGGTCCCGGCCGCCGCCCTGGCTGACGGTGCGCGGTGTTGCAGGCGGAGGGGCTGCGGCAGGCTCTGGAGGAGATGCGGGCGCTGTACGAGCGCAACCAGGCGGACGTGTGAGTGTCGCGCCCGGTGCGTGCGTGTGTCCCCCACTCCCCCCGCACCTCTGTAACGCGGCTCCTCCTCCAGGTCTGAGGCCAAGTCGGGACGGACGGACCTGATCTTCCTCATCCGCTTTCGGCACTGCTGCCTGCTCCGCAACCAGCGCTGCCTCCTGGCCTACCTGTGAGTGCGGCGGGGGGGCCCGCGCCGGGTTCCCGCGGGAGGTGCGGTAGCGGGATGGCCGAGTAGCGGTGTTGATGGCGGGGGCTGCCGAACGCCGGCACGAAGAGAAGGCCCCGCATCCTCCCCCTCTTTAAAAGCTCTAATCGCTGGAAAGGCTGACCTTCACGCCCTTTAGAGGAGCGTGGGCGCAGCGCCCCAGAGGATTTGGGGGAGAGGAGCCGCTGCCCGGGGCGGTTGCCAGCGAGGGGGTTCTAATTGACAAGCGGCTGAATATGAGCCGGCAGTGTGCCCAGGTGGCCAAGAAAGCCAATGGCATCCTGGCTTGTATCAAAAATAGTGTGACCAGCAGAAGTAGGGAGGTGATTGTGCCCCTGTACTCGGCACTGGTGAGGCCACACCTCGAGTATTGTGTCCAGTTTTGGGCACCTCAATACAAGAGAGATATCGAGGTGCTGGAGCGAGTGCAGAGGAGGGCAACGAAACTAGTGAAGGGACTAGAAGACAAATCATATGAAGAGCGGCTGAAGGAGTTGGGACTGCTTAGTGTGAGGAAGAGGAGGCTGAGGGGAGACCTCATCACTCTCTACAACTACTTGAAAGGACACTGTAGAGAGGTTGGGGCTGGTCTCTTCTCACAGGTAATTAAGGACAGAACGAGAGGGAATGGCTTCAAGCTCCAACAGGGTAGGTTTAGACTGAACATTAGGAAGGAATTTTTCACAGAGAGAGTGGTCGGGCATTGGAACAGGCTGCCCAGGGAGGTGGTGGAGTCACCATCCCTGGCTGTGTTTAAGGGACGTTTAGATGGGGTACTGAGGGATATGCTGTAGGGGAGGACTTTGTAGAGTAGGGTAGATGGTTGGACTCGATCCCAAGGGTCTCTTCCAACCTCAATGATTCTATGAAGGTGCCGGGTTTGCCCCCTGTTTCTGTCCCCAGGTACGACCGGCTGCTGCGCATCCGCGCGCTGAGGTGGGAGTACGGCAGCGTCCTGCCCAGCACCATCCAGTTCCACATGGCGGCCGAGGAGGTGAGCCAGCCCCGGCCTCAGCTCTTCCCCTCTTTCTCCTTGTTCCTCCTGATGGATTCAGTTGAGTCAAAATTGGACAGGCTCTCTTCCCCCGCCGCAAACGTGGCACTTAATGTGCCTTTCTGTAAGTACTGATTTATTTATTCCTCGTCGGTGGGTGCAATCCCACACGGATATTGAGTGCAGGTGATGCTTGGCACTTCTAAGGACCAGGTGGCCTTCAGCAGGTCAGACTCAGAGCCAGCAGAACGAGGTCTTCACGTGCAGCTCTCCTTCTAGAGCATCTACAGAGCTGCTGATGTGAGCAGCTCGTGTCCTGCCCTGGATCCAGACTGCTCTGTGTCTTTTTCCCTTTAAAAGAGCTTGTGTTCACCTTTCACTGGCATGAATGTGCTTGTGAAAGGTGGTCAGACAGCAGAGTAAACTAGATGTCGCTCATCAGGGACCTGTCTTTCAGCATTAGCTGTCCAGCTGTGCCTGAGGGATTGCTGTCAATGTCTGCAGGTGGAGTGGTTTAATCGGTACAAGAAGTCTCTGGCTACCTACATGAGGTCAGTAGGAGGAGAGGAGGGGCTGGACCTTACACAGGACATAAAACCTCCTAAAAGCCTGTACATCGAAGTAAGTGCAAGATTGCTGGTTTCTGCCTGTGAACAAACATTTTGTCTGACCATCATTTCTGAGAGAATTTTGCTCCCCTCTCAAGTCAGGTCACCAAGCAAAGCCTTCAAGAGCATCAAAGCTTCCACAAGCTTCTACATTTTACTCTCTGCCTGCCAGCGTTTTACTCCCTCAGTCTTCTACTGAGGACTCAAAGTCTGTTTAAAGATGGCATTTCTAGTGTGGGCAAGGGGGTGAGCGCTCTGAATCCCAGTGAGGAGTTTTTTGCAGCATTTTGCTGAAACTTAACCAACTCTCAGATCAACTAGAAACCTCGTTTCCATGAATTATTAACTAATTTTCTTTGTTGTTATTTTAAATGGACTCTGATAGATGAGACTATAAATTGTTTTACGCAATTGATGCAACAAAGTAAGAGCATGTGGGAATCTGCTGCTGCTGAAGTGCTCTGTTCCGCTGTTCTCTTCAAAAGAGCGTGTAGTAACAGCCTGCTTCTTAAGACAGTTTCACTGTTAACAGATGGGCATTTTCTGGTGCACGTGTGGGGAGGTTCTCCTGGAAATGCAGCTGCTGTTCCCCAGACCCTGTCTCTCTAGTCTCTCTGGAGGGCTGGGCTGCTTGCTGGTGCTTCTTGCTCCAGGCAAAGGCAGGAAGAGAACATGTTGGGTAGAACCCACCGACTGTGGGATCGGTCCAGTTCTGCATTTCCAGGTCTGCTCTGTTTTGAGGCTGCAGCAGGCAGGCAGGAATGTGTCCATACATACGGTTCTGGGACACATGGTGTAAGTCAGCAGTGATGCTGAGTGTTTTCTGTGGGAGATCTGATCTGAGAGCTGCATTTCTGCTTTGCAGGTGCGGTGTTTAAGAGACTATGGTGAATTTGAGATCGATGATGGCACCACCATCCTGTTGAAGAAGAATAGCCAGGTACCTGTCAAAAGAGTGTGGTCCATTCTCTTCCTTCCCTTTCACTCCCATGATACCCCCCTGCTTATCACAGCTTTGCAGCACATCCCCATTCCTGCACACGCTGCAAGCTGAGTTCTAAGGAAAGTGTCTTCTGTTTTCATGCAGCACTTCTTACCCCGCTGGAAATGCGAGCAGTTAATCAGACAAGGAGTCCTCGAGCACATCTTGTCATAAGCGTGCCGGACAGGAGGGACAACTCTTGCTTGGTGGCCTGCCCATAACAGGGACTGAACTCTGGTGTGTGCAGGACTCAGCACTTCTGCAGCGGGCACCCTGCCATTCCTCTTAAAGGCCTCTGGTACCTCACATGAAGATCAGCCCTGAGTTTATAAAGTATGCAATCCACATTGGCCAGCTCTTCATGACCGAAGGGTGCCCACTGGTAATGTGGGGAGCCTGGGAATCTGCATAGTGGTGGGGGGGGGAGGGGGGAAGGGGTGTTACCCAAGCCCTGCAACTGCAAGCAGGTTTTGTGAGTGCATTTTTGTTTGGAACAGTTCTTTATTCATACTGTGCATGAATGTGCACTGTGGGAGTAAGAGACTGGCCGTCTGGGCTGCGGAAACCAGGAGAGCTCCGTGGCTGCAAAATAAAGAACTGCTTCAGCCTTCTATTTAGTGTCTTTCAAGAGTTAACATTGTGGTTGTTAAACACTCTGAGGTGTCCTTCTGGTGCAACCCATCCTGACCCTGCAGGGTGATGCTCAACTGGATATTTAGGTGTCTCAGTAGAGCTGCTCCTCCAAGTGCCAGATAAGGCTGCATGACCTCATTTCTAGGATCAGACATGAAGCCTTGTCTCCCATCAGAAGCCTATAAATGTTGTTTCTTAAGGTGCTGAGCTGAATGAGCACTGCAGTCTGGGCAATGGGCCTGGCCAAGGTCTCTCCCAGGGTGCTTGGGCTGTGCCTCTGTCCCTCTCTGAAGAGTCTCCTTTCCCAGAGCACTGGTCTGGACATAGGGACTGCCTAGAGCAGGAATGGGAAAGGGTGCAGAGGGTTTGAAGGATTCCATTTAGCACAAAACCAGAGCAAGGCTGAAGAGTTGCTCTCCCTGTCTGGTTTTCTTAATGGAGCTGCTCACTCTTGAGTTGTGGCTGAGAGACAATGCTTCCAAAAGCTTAAGTCATAGGTAAGAGTAGAGGTTTGCCTTGTCCCCATCTCTGACAGGAGCCAAGAAGGAAATACCCTGGGGAAGAATACAGGAAGAGGACCAATGCCTGGATTGCTGCCCCAGCCAAGGAACCTCCCTGAGCTAGCCCACACCCTCTGCTGGGGCTTCCCTCCTTGCAATAGACTTGCTTCTCTCACGGCCCTTGTAGGCATGGCTGCCCCCAAGGCAAAGAGGAGTCTCAGCTGTCATCCCCCAGGACAGAAAAAGCACACCTAGATCAAGGAGGCCTCCTCAGTCACAGCCATCTCTTGTCACTGTCCCAGGGCCAGGGCACCTCTCTGCCCCGGCAGGCTGGGAATTAAAGGCAGTGGCTGAGTTCTAGCTTACAGCCAATTTATCCCCTTTTGTTCTTGAACCAACAGCTTGAGCTACTTTTAAGCCCTCTTCTTTGCATTGACTTTGTCCAGCCTCTGCTTTGCTACCCTGATACAGTCAGGTTTGTTTAGTCTTGTACAGTAGTCTCCATAGCCCCCAGAATCCTAGGGATCCTTTCTCAGCTGGTGGCAACCACAGCCCCCACATGAAAACCTGCACAGAGCAAGGCAGGGGCACAGTGGTAACAATGCACCCTCCATCAGGGTAACACCATGGGCAGATCAACAAATTTGGTATTTGTTGATGTGAATGCTTGGCTTTGTAGCCTTTTGGTCAACTTATTTTGGCAAGGGCAGGACTCGCTGCCAGTATGTGAAAGCCAATAAGGAATGCAAGATGACAGTTCACTTGCTGTGTCTCCTGGTCTCCTTTGAAGTGCAGCGCTGAGCAGGGGTCACCAACACTGCCCCAAGCCTTGAAGGCTCTTCCCTCAGCCTCTCTGTCCTGCTCACCACAGAGGCAACAATCTGGTAGCAAGTTGGTTTGGTTCCTAGGCTCAGACTTTAGGAGGGCCATAGTCTCCTAGAGCCCAAAAGGATCTGTAAGGAATAAAAGTTAAGCAACGTTTGCGGGAGGCTGCTGAAATACAGAGCAGACTGGAGATGGCAGGAGCTGCTATAATATTGCAAACATTTTAATGCCACAACACGGCTTTCCTGCTCTGAGTGAGCCAGATACAGTAACCTTCAAGCCCTCCTGCCCTGGCTTTCCAGCCGTTAACAGCCTAACCCCAACAGCAACCCTCCATGGAGCAGGAGCATCCACACCACCACCGACCACGCTGCTGGAGTGCAGGCAGCTCCTGTGGGACGGCTGCTGTGAGAAAGACCTGACTTAACAACAGCACACTGCCACTGAGACAGGCACCAAAGCTGGTGCTTTCAGTTCAGCTACCCACAGGACCAGCTTCCTTAAAGGACTCTGTCTGGTTTCTCCATTCTCTACTTTCTACCCAGGAAAATTCTGGCAAGACCAGGGAGGACAAGGCTGGTTTCCCAGCCTATCCATACATCCCCTTCCGCGCCTAACAAACCCTGGCCAGGACCAAGGCTGCCACAGCGAGTGCCCCATCACCCACTCAGAGATGCTGGTGTGATTTTTCCAATGAGCTGCTTCAGGGCTGAGGCTTGCTCCTCCAACAGCTGGTTCTTCTCCTCAGTGCTCTTCTGCTTCAGCTCAGCTGCCTGCAGGGCCATTGCAAACCCCCTGTTCTCCTCACGGAGGTTTTTGATCAGCAGTTTGTTCCTGGACAGTTGGGCCTACAGCAGGGACAGAAGGCTTAAGGTTGAGCATTCCCACGAAAGGGTGCCAGCCAGGCAGGGACCTGCAAAATTAACCCCTCTTGCACTCACCTGTGTGAACTTGAGCTGAGCTGCCCTCTCTGCCAGCACAGCTTCTGCACTCCTCAGATTACGCTCCAGCCCCTCTGCCTGCTCCACAGCTGCCTGCAGCAGACGCTCATGTTCCTCCTGCAGTGGGCAACAAAGCCTAAGATCGGGCTACCCCAGCACTCACCAGGCCTCTGGCAATCCTGGACCATGCATTTCCCCAGGGCCCTGCTCACAAACCTTCACACTGCCTGAGGGAGAGCATGGAGGTATCAGAGGAGGGGGTGCAGGATCCAAAGAGCAGCGGGACAAGTGTCTACAGCAGTACAAGGGGTTTTAAGACAAGGCACGGATTTCCCAGCAATGTTTTCTATAAAAACAAGCCAATGACCTCCCCTCTCTCAGTCATGTCCAGAAAAGCCCAGGGAGAGACACAGTTTCCTTGGATGTAGTTTTTGTGTCTGCTTAGTTTAATTCTTTAGGTTATAATTTGCTCCAACTTTGCCCAGCTTACTTCAACTGAATCAGTGTCCTGAAACAAAGGACACACAAAAATCCAACACCTTGCTGCACAGTGCCTTAGGGATAAAACCACCCCATTCTATGCAGGTTACATCTCCATGTAGGGGGTTCAAATTTTCTTTCCCCAGCCTGATCCAACATAGAGTGTCTCCCCAGATAACTCCTGCTCCAAGGTATCTGGCCTGGGGTAGGTGGATGAGAGTGGAGAGGAATCCCGTTTGAGTGCAGGGCAGAGACTAGGTTCATGGGGAATTAAAATTGCAGCTGAATTTGAAGATCAAGTGTATTTTCCGTTTGTGGGCTCCTGATATATAGCATCTTCTACTCAAACCTCTTGTGGCTTCAGCCACAGCTGCCTTCCAGGCTGGCAGGGCTCCCTCCCCAGTACCCTTGACTGAGCTCCCGCAATTCCCTGCTTACCTGGGTCCTGACCAGCTGCCTGCACGTCTGCTCAGCCTGCCGGTGGAGGTTTTCCTGGAGCTGCTGAGCCTTGCACCGTTCCTCTCTCAGGCTGTTTTGCAGCTGCTCAAGCTGTTTCTTTGGCACCATATTGCTCATCTGGGCCTTAGCCTGCTGCAACTGCAGAGCATGCTGAGTCTGGGCCAAGCTCAGGTTTGCTTTGGCTTCTAAGAGCTGCAATACAGAAAGGCTGAGAGCTGGTTACAGCTTTGTGCTAGCAATGGGACAGGCCCAGGGTGTGCTGCAGGTGAGAGGGTTAGGAAGCACCCTCAACCCCCCCACCTTGGCTCTCACACCACCCTGGCCACAGAGCAGCAGGACCACGGGAATGGTGCTTGCTAGGCAGCCTACAAAGCCAGGGATGGAGAACACTGAGAGCTGCAGGAGTGACCCCTTGCTGAGAGATGCTCCCTTTGCTGAGCAGTGAGGAGCAGGAGTTGCTGGAAGGATCCTCTGAGAGGGTGTCCTAGCACAAAGGGCCACAACAAAAGGTGGCAGAGGGGGCTGCTTGCCTGGGTTTGTTCTCAGATACATCCCAAGGCAAGCTGGGCTTCAAGGCAAGCTGGACTGTACTACATGTCTTCTGCTTCCTTCCACCAGCAAAGGACAAGCAAAGGGCAAGCAAAGGGCAAGCAAAGGGCAAGCAAAGGGCAAGCATGGTAGTAGGAAGCAGGTCTGGTCCAGCTTTGCCCTACAGCTACCTAGGGGTGGCTGGCAGGGGTAAGCTGTACTCTCACAAGCCAGTCTCTGAGCCTGTCCTGAGGTTAGAAGGCAGGAGAGGGCTATTTTGAGGTTTCTCACATCAGCTTTCCCCTTAGTGGTCCTTGTTCCCCTGCTCTGATCACCTCATTTCCCTCCCCCTCAGACATGGCCTGCCTGGCCCCTGTCATCTCTGCCCAGCCACTACCTGATCCTGCCTCTCCTCAAGCTCCTCCCAACCAAGACACGGGGAACCACAGCTCCTGGCACTCCTGTGTGAGCCACCCCCACTCTGCCTCCATCTCCTCTGCCCAGCTAGCCTGCACAGGACAAGGACACAGTGGGCACCACAGAGCCAGCTGTGAGCAAAGACCCATCCCAAGCTGCACCTGAACTGGCCTCAGCCATATCTGAGTGGGAGGGCAAGTCCCCACAAAGAGGAAGAGGAGAGTCATTCTGCCCGGGGAAGGTGTCCAACACAGCCCTGAGCAGGGCAATACCAATATCACAGGCACCACTCAGCAGCCTGCCACCCTGCCACCAACTGAATGACACCCACCTTCTCCTGCAATGTCTTGAGCTGCTGTCGGAGCAGCTCCATCTCCATCCAACATGCTGCATGCTGCTGGTGGTGCTCCAGCCTTACTGCTGCCTCTGCTCCTTGGGGCCACTCAGCCTCCACAAGCTTCTGGCTGGCTTTGTGCTCACTGAGTTCATGGCCCAGCTGACGCATCTTCATGTTCAGGTCAGAGACCTCCCCCTTACTCTTCTCACTCTGGAAAAGGTTGAGAAAAAAAACAACTCATGCACAGAGGCCTGGGGTGGGAAGAGAGGAAAGAGACTTAACCTGTCCCACGCTGTCCTTGCTGACTTCCCACCCAGGAACACTGCTGTCGCTGCAGGGCCTTGCAGGCACTCGGGACAAGTGCCCCCATTTCCCAGCCTGACCATAGCCCCGTGGCCGAGTTCAAGCAGAGAATTCCCAGGTAAGGAAACCCACACAGATGGGGCCTTCACAGTCACCTGGAAGAGGTCACTAGGGAAAGCCGGGGAGAAGGTGACTGGGTCTGGCTGTACAGATGTGTAACAGAAATATTAAGATTGGTAAGAATACAGTATGAATGGAAAAGTGTCCCTGCACATGTGAAAGTACCAAATGAAAGAGCAAAGTAAGGGCTTCAAGAGTAGTCTGCATCAACACTGAAAGGTACCATCCCTCAGATGTTGCTCCTAGAACACTGTCCCCAGCAGTAATGCTGAGCAAGGTGCAGTTTCTGGCCCATGCTCTGACCAGACTACAGCACAGGTAACACGTCAGGAGAAAGCCTGCACCTAACAGCAGGGCAGCAACACAACCCACACCTCTGCTAGCCTCCCAGGAAAATGGGCAATCAACACAGCTTTCCAACAAAGGAGGAAAAGCAATCAATGAGCAGCAGTTTTGTGGCTGAAGATTAATGGAGGCTGAAGCCAGCAAGGGACAGCAAAGGCCACCCTGCTGCAGCTGATGGCCCCAAAGAGTACAAAAGACATGTTCAAAACCCAGGTTGTGGTTCCCAGTCATGAGGAGTTCCAGGAACAGGGTGAGGAACTAAGACCCTCATCTAGGTTGTGCGCAAGCAATCCTGGCCAGGCCATGTCCATGGGCTTGTGAACATGCAGCTTTGAGACTGGGGGTGAGCAAAATTCCTAGAAGAAAGAGTGCAAGTATGTAAGACAACCTCATTAGAGATTCTGTAGTAAGATGTTCCCTTCAGTAAGACCTTCACTGGCTTTTGTCACACAATTTTTCCCTACTTGACAAGCTATAAAATGAAGCTGCTTCTTTAAAGCAAGACTGGGTTTGAATGTTGAAACAAAGATTCCTGTTCTTCTCTATAAACATGTGCAGTTTCTGTCCTAAATCCTTCAGCCCGTCCGTTAGTGTCAATGACTCCTCACCGATGCTGTTAACTCTGCTATTTCAGCCAGCTCCTCCACCTTCTCTCTGCCCAACTCGTTCACGTGTTTCCTGTTGGGGAGAGGGATATGATCAGCTTCAGGCCAGAGAGCAGCAAACCATGGTCCCCCAGAGAAGGGACCCGTTTCAGGGAGCCACACATCTGCTTTTGGCCTGCAACACAAAGGAAAGCCATGCCCAAAAAAAAGAGTATGGTCATGAACTGACTCAGGAGTGGGTCAGGTGTCTCTGCCCCAACAGGTGACTCAGCCCAGCCCAGGGCAGACAGCTGGGGACATCCAAAGTCCTGCAACATTGTCAGGGGCCTAAAAATCAGGGGATAAAGAACAGTGGGAGAGCCATCTTAGCAGACTCTTAGGACCATCTGCACCAGAAACCTGGCTCTCCTTGGATTTACTACTCAGTGGGGGACCCTAGTACCTACCTCAAGCTTCCTAAGGCAGCAGCAGGCCACTCACCAAAAGGTTTGTGCTTCAAAGAAGCCCATCCTTTCCTCCTTTGGCACAGCCATCCCCACAGCCTTCCCCAAACCCAGCTCTGGACCCTGTGCTCTGGCCTGCCCAAGCCTTCTGGCTGGCCAAGCCTGCCCCAGCACTGGCTGCCTTGGCATGGAGTGAAAGGGTGTGGGAGTGCTGGCTTGCTCAGAAACCAGAAAACAATGGGCAGGTTGAGCCAGCTGAAATACGGTTAATGTACCTGAGTGGCCGTTCCTTTTACAATCATTAGCTATCCACCCATTTGCCAGCCTCCCATAGCTGGCTCCTCTCTTACTCATCATGTCTGCTGCCCTTCTCCTTTGCAAGCCTCAGCTCTTGTTGGAGTCTCTGAAGTTGACTTTTCATCAAGCTGTTCTCCTTCAGCAGCCGGCACAGCTCTCCCCTGCGGGGAGAGACAGCAGAGTGAGAAAACCATGCAAAAGCCCAGTTTGCTTTTGGCATCCTATGCTGGCTCCCTGCTCTATTCCCATTTCATTTGCAAGGACAGCAAGAGCTAAAGAAATGAGGAACAACCATCCAATAAATCAGGCAAACTATGTGGGTACAATCAAGAGACATTGGTGGAGAAGGAGCAGGTCTTCAAGGGAAGGGAAATAAAGAGGAATAAGGACAAACAGCATCAGACCCTGAAGTTGTGTGGCATCCAGCTGGCTGCAATTACTTTGCAGGCCTGCCAAGGGGTGGGAACACACCAAGACTTCATTACAGGATAACCAGGTGGTGAGCCCAACCCTTCAACTGCAACAGAGCCATGTTTGGAGAAGCCAGCTTGGTTGTGAGACCTCTGTGATTTTACAGTGCTGGACACAACAGCTATGACCCCCAAATCCAAGGTAGCCTTTCCGCCTCATTATCTGTCCACTTCTACTGGTACTCCCAGTCTCCCATGAGGCCATGAACACTGGCACTTGTGGGAAGGAAGCTCAGTCCTGTATTAAACAGACAGTCCAATCCAGCAGTTACTGCTAAAACCCAGGTCCATCCTGGCAGGGAGAACAGCACTGCAGTTTGTGGCACTGCATGTGGGAGGCAGAGCAGCTGAGTGTGGAAGTTCCTCTCTTCTCCAAGCAAGCAAGCAAAAGGACAGGCTGTCTGGCATTTGCTCTCCCTGCTTGGCAGGGCACTCCTCACAGCAGCTGCTTTCAGAGTCAGTTTTACATCAGGATTCACACACTGTGCTTCCTGTGGCATCTCGAACACCCAAGTACAGCTGTACAAGGCAGAGGAGATGAGTCCGTAGTCAGTCACAGCCATGTGAGCACATCCCAGCTCTCTGACCACACTCCCATGGTTATTAAGACGTGTGGGGGACAGCAAGACAGAACACAGCTGCTGTTAAGAGTGTCAAGAGAGAACATAGCTGCTGTTAGATTGTCAAGAGAGAATGTAGCTGCTGCTAGTGCCAAGAGAGAACATAGCTGCTGTTAGAGTGTCTTGGACCATCATGTTGTTAAGCAGCCTTGTATTTCACAAAGCACCTGCTTTTTTCTTTTTTTTTTTGCAGTAGCATCACTGTGTTAGTTCTGCAAACTGCCTCTGCGCTCAAATCTGCCATTCTCTTGAGCTCTGGATTCATTTTGAAGCTAGTGCACAACATCTTTGAGCCGCATCAGCTTTAGGTTCACTGTGTCTCCTTCCCTCTCCAGCTCCATTTTGACAGCCTGAATGTCTTGTTTCCTCCTATGTGGCTGTGCCACTCTGTCTCCCAGGGCCTTCTCTTCCTCTTCTTGCCCTCCAGGACAGAAAGAGAATAGTACCAGACCTCAGGCTCTCTCTGTCCCTGCACTGTGTCCTCAGCTCTCCTCCCTCGTGGTCCAGCTGCTGCCCTAGATAGTAAATGTCTTTGGTGTGCTGTTGTCCCACCCTGGCCTGCTCCATCTCAAACCTCTCCTCCAGCTCCAGGCTCCACACACATTTTTGCTCTTTCAGACTATCAGTTACAGCCCAGTACTTTGCAACTCTTTCTTCCAGCTCTCTTTTCTGGTCTTCCATCTTGCGCATCTCAGCCTTGAAGCCTTCCTCACTGATCTTCCTTTCTCTCTCAAAGTTTCTCCTCATCAACTCCATTTCCTCCTCGTAATAGTTTGTCTGTTGGGAGGAGACAGTATTTGGATATTAGCACCATGCTCCCAAGAGCTCCCCTCTCCTCTGACTCAGATCCATCTATTGGTCCCCCTCCACAGGGGACACTCTACAGACAGTTCTGGTCCCTACTGAACTTAGGGCAATAACCAGTCTCATGCAGCAGAGCATATATTGCAAATATCGGTGATCCCAGCTCTTCCTAGCAAGCAGCACAGTTCTCCCCTTTCTCCTTGTTTGTAAGGAACCTCAGAGAGGAGAAGGGAGAGGCCAGGGCATCATCTGCCACTGCTCGTCATAACCTTCACCCCTCTCCCGGTTTCAGCTGGAACAGAGTTAATTTCCTTCCTAGCAGCTGCTGTGTTTTGGATTTAGTATGAGAGTAATGTTGATAACACGTATTGTTTTAGTTGTTGCTAAGTAATGCTTATATGAAGCCATGGACTTTTTCAGCTTCCCATAGAAACGGAGAGGGAGCACGGACAGGACAAGCCGGCCGAAGGAATATTCCACACCATAGATGTCCTGCTCAGTATTTAAATGTGGGTTGGCCAGGGGGCTGGAATCTGCGATCGCTGTGCAGGATGGGCTGGGCAATTGGTCATTGTGTGGTGACCAACTGTACTGCATCACATCTTTATACCCTGCTTGAGGGGGGTGGAATGAGTGAACAGCAGCGTGGTCGTAGTTGCCAGCTGGGGCTAAACCATAACAAGCCTGCAGATTAGTCCCTTATCCAAGATGTGGTGGTGAGTAGCTGCTGTTCCCCATGGCTCCCTTGTGAACACTAGAAACTCCAGGATCTCATGAGCACAAAGGCAGGACTGTGAAGCAAGCTGAAGATCTGCAAGCAGCTTAGTGCTCCTTGAACTGTTTGTGACCTGTGTGGTGGTTTAGGATTTGCTCTTGCAGTGCTGCAAGAGAAACTCAGCAAGCACCCCCAACCTCTCAGCTCAGCAGCTAAAGGTGGAGAAAAGGTGGAAGGCCTCTCACAAAGGCACTTACTGCTGTCTAAAGGGAGGGCTGGGCTCACAATGTCACCTTAGGGCAAGCATGTTAAAAGTGCACTGCAAGCCCAGGGAGACAGGGCTCTGATATCCCCCAGTCCCTCTTGTCCTCTTGGTCCTGTCACTGGTTTTACTGCGACAGCAACACCGAGTAGCTCTGGTTCCCCGTAAGGAGCAAGACCCACACAAACATGTTATAAGGTGACAGAGATCTCCACAAAGCCTTTGCCAGCCAGTGAGGGCTCCAAACCCTCCTACCAGCTAAGATGGGCTGGGGAAGCACAGTCAATAACCCCAGCAGAGGGATGAGGTACCACCCTGTTTCCCAGCCTGAACTCTCCAGCCACCCTCCTGGAGCAAATGCCCCAGCAGCGATGCTGTAGCAGGGTGCTTACCAAGCAGTTGTGCCAAGAGGTCAGGACATCTCCCCCCACCCCTCTCACCTTGGTTTCTAGCTGCACCTTCAGATCCCGCAGCTGCTCGTGGAGCTGCTCCATTGAGAGTGACACCTCTGTGCACGCAGAAGCAGGAATCAGAGGGCTGGGAGAGCGGCACACTGGCAGAGAGGAGCCCTGTGAGGACAGGCCTACAAGACAGGACAAGACTGGCTGTCCTGATCAGGGTGGCTGCAGCTCCATCAAGTCAAGTTCATACAACCCCAAAAGATGGAGATCTCCATCTGTGGATGGACTGACTCAACCAGTCCCAGCACTGCATCACCTCTCTGGGCCAGAAGTTTCTACCTAACGCTCAACCTGAATCTCCCAACCCACACTTTGGGGCTACTTCCTCTTTATTGTATTATGTTTCCTCAACATCCTCAACAGCGAAAATCTACCTGTTCATTCCCAGCTGCCTAGTCCACAGGTCACTATCACCATCTCGAGTTGGAAGAGCCTCCTTCCCTCCATCTCCCTCCTCCTCACCACACATCACCCCCTTCTTCCCTCCCACAGCTGCCCAGTGCCAGAACTGGCAGCAGCAGCAGCTCAGGCACAACAACCCAACCCACACTCCCACGGAAACTCCAATGCAGAGGGAACCTTCTTCTTGCTAAGAAGATGGACAGGCACAGAACCCTGCTGCATTTTTACCTCCTGCTGGCAGCCCTCTCTCAGCCCTGCTTTCCTGTAGCTGGAGACGCAGCCTTCCCAGCTCCCTCCACAGCACTCCATTCTGGTCCCACAGCACCTGAAGCAGAGACTGGTCACCATGTGGTTACAAAGCTCCTCAGGGCTGCAGGGGACCGAGCACCCACAGCTCCCAGCAGCCATGTGTACTCAGGGTCCTTTGCAGCATGAAGAGCAGAGCCCTCTCACCAGCACAGTCACAGAATAAAGCAGGGGGATTTTCTTCCATCCCAAACAGGTGGAGATGAGTGTTTTTGGAAGAGCCAGAGAAGAAATACAAGCCAAGATTACTGCGACCACTATTACAAGAACCATCATTAAACATTGTAAAGCATGAAGAGCCACAAGTAACTGGTCCTGCATGCAAAAACACACAACACCGGGGGTTTTTGCAGACACCTCAGAGAGCTGGACCTCCTCAGACTTCTCCTGAGCTGAAGAAGACCACTCACTGGTAGTGACCAAAACACAAGAAACATTGTGATCTCAGTACAATCCCTTACACAGCCCAGATGTTTGCATTCACATCCTCAAGACACTCGTGTGGGAATGTGGGCTAGCCAACAAGCACTACTGGACACAGACAAAGCAACAGCAGGACTTACAGTGAAGTAAGTCCCACAGGGCTCTGGAAGGGAACATCTCTAGGTTGCAGAAGCAATAAAGTGAGGCGAGAAGGTGCTGATCCGATGGGAAACAGAGCACAAGGCAGGCCCCGTGGCTTGCTTTGCACAAGCACCCTCAGATGCCAGCACAGGAGTCTATCCTGTCTCAGTGCCAACATCAGCCTTCAGAAAGGAGTCCCACGGGTGAACACCACAGTATAAGCCATCACACCAGCTCAATGACCCACTTCCATGAGGGTGTCTGGAGCTGGGCAACTGCTTGCTTCACTTCCCACCCTCCACCCTGTACTGGAAGCTGCAGCGAACAAGGCATCCTGCCTCCCTCTGGACTGTCTGCTTTGAGAGAACATCAAATTATATCCCATATGCTGCCCCCCAGGAAACTGATGGGCTGCAAGAGACTACGAACTAGGATACTTCCAAAGATCCCAATTAATAAATATTATTGAGCAGATCTAGCCAAATGCAAACCCAGTTTGTTTAATCTCCATTCTAAACAAGAGAGCAGAGGAAGAGAGGGGCGGACAGAATTCAACAAGGGTAAAGGATAAACCTGAGTGGGTGCCTTCACAGAGGCAGATGGAGCCTGAAGGGAGAGCCTTGCCTTCCATCAACATTCTCATGGACAATTCTGGGGCTGCTCAATGGGAGCTAAAAATTGCAGCACTGAACATCTTCAACCCTCTGGTGCCACCTGGAGCAACGCTGCACTGGATAGTGCTCCAGCATGTTTGCCTTCAAATACAGCTTCAAGACGGGCTGTCTGCTGCATCCGTGAAAAAGCTTTGCTGAAAATGCAGATTTCAGCTGCTGCTGGGGGGATTTGATGTCTCTGCTCAGTGATATTCCCCCGTCACACATAGCACTTGGAAACAAATAGGCAATGCAATAAGCACAGGACTCAGGAGCCAAGGCACAGAGCACCCAGCAGCTCACAACATGCAAGGTACACAAGTCACTTAAAAACGAGAGAAGAGAAACAGAAGATGTGCTCATGTCCCAGAGAGCCCAAAGCTCTGGGCAGAAGCACAGCACACTGCAGGACAACACACCCAACACCAATGCCTAGACCTCACAAACACCAGGTACCTGAAAAGGCTCACCTTGACTCTCTAGCAGAGTCCAGCAGCAACAAGTTTTGTAGGGGTTGTTAAAGCGGGGCAAGAAAGAGGAAGGGAAAAACAGAAAGTTAGAAGAATTTAGCTGATAACATGCTTTCCAAAGGAGAACAGCTTTCTCCTTGTGTTTGAGAAGAAATGCAACAGAGTCCAGTGTGCTGCTACACGGTTCCCAGACAAAATGGCCTGTGGCTACAGGGTGGCAAGAAAGGAATTTACCCCTGCTCCCGCCCACCAGTATCCCAGCAAGGGAATCAACCCATGGAGGGCTGCAGGAGCAAGGACACAGGCTGCCTTGCTAAGGGCACAGCTGTGTCCTGCCTCCTGCCAAAGGATTCTGAGCAAGGCAAGAGGGAACCCTCTGGTCAGGGCTGCCTCCTTCCTCTCCCCCCGGCCATAGTGCCCAAGAGATCATAGAATCATTCAGGTTGGAAGAGACCCTTGGGATCATCGAGTCCAACCATCTACCCTAATCTACAAGGTCATCCCCTACACCATGTCCCTTAGCACTGCATCCAGGGATGGTGACTCCCCCCCCTCCCTGGGCAGCCTGTTCCAATGCCCTATCACTCTTTCGGTGAAAAATTCTTTCCTAATGTTCAATCTAAACCCGTGAGAGCTGTATTGTCACAACAGCACTGCTGGAGAGCTGCCCATCCGTACCTGGCACTGCCGCTCGTACTCCAGGACAATCTCTGCAAAGCGCTCATTCTGATTCGGGAGGTCTGGGCTGGGGGGCTCCACCTGGCCCAGCTGCACAAGCACAGGAAACACTTCTCATCAAAGAAATTATCACCTCTCTAAATGGAGAGGCAAAAGCTCTACTAAATCACTAGAGTCATGGTACTACACCCATAGGTTCAATGAAGGGTTGTGTGGTGGGACGGGTCAGATGCAGAAAGAGGAGGAAAAACATTTTTCTTCGTGTGTGAAGGCACACGAGCTGCAGGCAGGCTAGCTTTCCCAAACTGGCTAACCAGATCACAGGCTCATTTCCTTCCGCAGATCCGTTTTACCAGATGCCTCACTGGAGTGGAAGGGACTAAAACAAACCCTTTACTTCAATACTTGTGAAAAAGAAAGCTTTTTTTTTTTTTTTTCTGGAAAACAAACACTAAAGTTCTCACTTAAGACTACAGATTTGTAGAATTTTCTACAATTGCAAACTTACCTCATCTTTTTTTTTTTTTTTCAAACTTTGAAAGGCCTAAATTAAAAGCCAGTATTTTTTCTTTCCAGGTTGTCACTAATGTGCAGAAGCATTCAAATAGGGGGAGACCATAAAAACTGACCCAATATATATAGGATTTCCTAGAAAAAGGTCAATCTTTTGATGAGTTCCTGAAAAGTTCCTATTTAACCACAGCAGAGGAAGAAAGGCTACCATGTCCTTCACAACGTGGTTGAGTTCTTTCTGCAGTTCCAACACCAGTTTCTCAGAGGCCGCCAGTTTCTCAGCCATCTCTGTGACCCTGTTCTGCAGCTGTGTGCTCTCCTGCAGACAAAGGGAAGAAGATTTTTTTGATGTTGTGGGTCCTCACATCTCAGGATGGATTCATCAGCAGGTAGCCACAACACAACTGGCACATGAGCATGAGGAACACAGCACAGCTTGCAGGAGATGCTGCTTTGGACAGCACACTGTTGACACACACCACATGAGCTGGGGTTTGGCTCATCTCTCCGAAGGACAATCGTAGGTTTTGCAGAAGACAGCCCCCACAGGCTCATCTCTACCTCTGCTTCACAAAGCTATGGTTTCCCTCAAAGCCAACAAAGCCAGTAAGACCTAAGCTATCTCTGTTTACACTGAACAGTGTGGGAAAATCCCAGGTGTGCAGACACCATTGTCTCCGCCTGTAGCATGGTCCCTGGCACAATTTTAGCCTCAGCCACCAGGTGTTCAGCTGTTACTAAGGGCCAAGACATTCCCAACAAACAGGGGCATTTAATAATGTCATGGCAAGGAAACAAGTTCTGCATTTAATTCAATAGTATGGATGTGGCTGATGAATTTTTCTCTCCTGTCCTTCCCTTCCCAGCAACACAAACCACCCATCTTCATCACCACCTTTGCTTTGCCTCCTCCTCTGAAGTGAAGATGTTTCACCCAGGGCAGGGTGAAACTTACCTTCCTTCCTTACTTACTTACCTTCATTGCGTGGTTCAGTCTCCCTTGCAGGCTGGCCTCTTTGCCCTGGAGGAACCGTGTATCAGCCTCCAGCTTCACTTGGTGATTGACTGCTTGCTGCAAAAGCAGCTCTTTTGCCTCTATTTCTGCCTGAACATCCCTGGGGAAAAAAGTAACATGCTTGAGGCACCCAAAGTGTGTTCTCAGATGGCCAAAAGGTCCAGACACTCTCAGCATGCACAAAGCAGGAGATGAGAGCTTGGTTGGAGGAATGTGGGGACAGTATTGAGGTGGTTCTTCAGGGACTTCTCTGCCACTGACACAACGGCAAAACAAGTGGGAGATTCACAAAGGGAGACTGGATGGGAGGGAGAGGCTGTGGGCACACAGAGGAATACCATTTTCCCTGCCCCACCAAGAGGACCTCTCCTACTTGAGCTTGCTCTGGGTGTGCTCGAGAGCGACGTACTGCTCCTCCAACTCCCTGCCAAGCTGCAGGCAGCATGTCTCCGCTTTCTTCAAGTCCAGCCTCGCCTTGTCCCTCTCCAAGGCAACCTGTCTCACCTGGATCCTGCAGGCACAGTGACCAGTGCATTAGGAGACATCTCACACACCCCACAGAAGGGCCCTCTTCACAGGGAGCAGCACCCTTACCTGAGGCACTGCAGTTTGTACCCGTAGGAGGTGATGGCTGCATGCTGAAGCCCACTCCTGGGGACCATGAGCGTGTTGTCCAAAGTTGCAGGCAGCTCTGCTGGGCTCATCTGCTCCTCCGAGCTCCTATTCAGCCTCTGCAAGGACAGCACAGACTGAAATCACTTTCTCCCTCTTTTAACAGTGCCAACAGGAATTCTGTTGTTACATCATCTGATCACCTTCCAGCCTTTCAGAGGGATCCACCCCCATCTCACAGATCACATCCACCCCACATCTTCCCCAGCCTTGGGGTGGCCACACCCTGCCAGCCCATCATGAACCTGACTGCAAGCACTTCTTCCACCCCGGACGGCTGCTTGCTGAAAGACCTTGCTCACTTCACCCACCACCATCGGACAAGGCAGCACCAGAAACCTTGAGAACCTCCTCTAAGTTCTTCCAGAACTCAGATGGCAATGCCAAGTTCAGGCATGGCAAATCTAGTGCCATTGCCAATGCTGGAGAAGAGATGTGGGCCCAAGCAGCTCATCCAGAAGGATGGGCTGTGTCCCTGCACTCTCTCCTCTGCTGCTGAGGAAAAAAGCAGCGGAGGTAAGTCAGTGGGGCAAAATTGGCAGAGAAAAACTGACGACTGCCAGACAACATTTTGTTTGATCTAAAACCTAAAACTGGGTTGAGGTCAGCTTCAAAAATAAACAAGATTCAGCCAAGCTGAACCAAAAAGCAGAACCCAGAAAGCTGATACAGAATTTACAGAATTGGTAACATCATCTCCAAGAGCACCAATTTTATACCAGGTAAGGAGGAAGCCGATCCTCAAAGAACTGTTACCTCAAAGTCTTAAGCCAAAAGAACATGAAATAATTATTTTTTCCTTTTTTTCTCTCTCTCTCTTTTTTTTTTTTTTTTTTTTTTGCTTGAGGAAGCCGATCCTCAAAGAACTGTTACCTCAAAGTCTTAAGCCAAAAGAACATGAAATAATTATTTTTTCCTTTTTTTCTCTCTCTCTCTTTTTTTTTTTTTTTTTTTGAGCTGTTTTGCTCAGGATCCTGGATGGAGCTGTCCTGGCTGTCAGGGTAATCACCTATTCACTTCCACCTTAGTGCATTAGAGCGCAGTTACTTCAAAAGCATAAGCATTTGCAAATGCCTTGCCAGTCCTTGGAATTAAAAGCACTAAGAAGAAAGAAGTATTTTAAATCAAACAAAGAAAATGTGGATGAAGCTTGCCCCGTGCACTAAAAAGGGAACAACAAAAGTCACAAGAGGTGCAGAGATGTCAACGCTTCTGAAGTTAGTGAACTGGGGTGATCTTTCCCCTCTGCTAGGATAAGCACCGCTCTCCCTCCCCTACAAAGATGAGGCTCAACAGCCCTCTGTTGTTCCATTTGACCATCCCACTCCACCTGCACAGGGTTTGGTCCTACTCTGGCAGCTGCCAAGGGAGCCTTTTGGTCACCATGCAGTGTGTGAAGTCCAGACCACACCCCAAAACTGCCTGCCAAGTGGAAAACTCTCCCCAAGTAACCACCCTCAGATGCCCAACTAATGTCTATTAGATCACTTCCTTGTGAAACAAAACATCTTGGCCTGAATTGCTCTCAGTAGAACCCATTATTGAGACTCCTCCTCTGTGGGGAAATAGAGAAACCTTTCTAAGTGTGTCAGCTGGATTTGCAACTGGATTCCCTGCAGGACATTGTAGAAAAATCAAACACAAATGTACTGTCCTGTATAGAGAACCAGCAATGGCTTATAGTTTCCTATCCAAAAGTAATGGAAATCACCTCAAAGGAGCTGCAGATCAAGGCCACAAAACAGGATTCTTTTTACAAAGAAATCTTTCTGCCTTTCAGCTCATGAAGTACTGACAGTCTTGGCTCCTTGAGAGATGTTGACATACCTTGGAAAAAGGTGATCACGTGGCTGAACAAGCCAAACTGCAACTCCTCAAAGCTCACCCTTCCATCTCCATCCTTCTCCAGATTAGTGAATAAATCTGTGAGTTCCTAAAAAATGAGTACAAATGAAGAGAAACTCACAAACTACAGAAACATAGCTCAAAGCATCCAAACAACTTCTTAAAATAAATTCCATCTGTTTCACAGTGCAAATGGAACACAATTAAAAAACTATTTTTGAAAATTAACGCTGCTCTATTACCATGCATACACAAAGAAACAAAGTCTCCCACAAAGGCTGAAATGTGAGCCCCAGTAGTGAAGGCAGACAGGTATAAAACCCACTTGATTACAGCTTTAGTCTGGGGAGAGAAGGGGGATTGAGGCCCCATGCCTACTCTGAACCCTGAAGAGATAAGGTTGTCCTGTAATTTCATTTTGGAAATGGCTGGCTATTCACAGAAACACCCAAAAAAAGGACAAAATACAATGGGAACAAGCTGCAACAAGGGAAACCTTGACTGGCCATAAGGACAAAATTCTTTCTCCTGAGTGCACTGCAGGCTGGAACAGGCCCAGAGAAGCTGTAGGGTCTCCACCCTGGGAGATACTCAAACCTAGACTGGACAAGCCCTGAGCAACTTGGTCTAGCTTGAAGGTCAGTCCTGCTGTAGGCCAATTAGCCCAGATGCCTGCAGAGTTCCCTTCCCACCTAACCCTGCCTTGGTCAGACACTATGGACCAGCTCCTCTCCAAGGGAAGCCATCTGTGTCCCCACAGAAATGAATCATGCTGGGGTACCTCAGCTCAGGATCAGTGCCTGTCCAGGACCAGGACCAGTCTACAAGAGGCACAGCTTGCTTTAGACACTCATTTCTTTTGACTCTACAGACTCACTGCCCAGAACTCACCGCCCATGCCTCCCAACAAACCAGCTCCTGGCCTTTCCCTGCTCACCTCCTTCCTCAGCTCCTTCAGCCAAACGCTAGCTAAGGAAAGCTTCACCTCCTGTGCCTACCTCCTCTGGGAGGGCGCAGACTTGAGCCTCAGCCACATCCCAGGTGGGGCTGGGCACCCACCAGGAGCTGCAGGCTAGGTCAGGCTTTCAGAGGAAAACACAGCACATATCAGCCATCCTAAAAACAGCCTCCCCACACCTATTTGTGAAACAATACTGTTGAGGAGTGAGCCCCCTGTATCTGCATTCACCCCTGTAAGGACAATGGAAGAGCACAGCCAATGTCACCAACACAAGGATGACAGAGATCAAGCAGCATGACTTCCCTGTCACAAACTCAATCCAGGCATGTGAGCACCATGCCATCCCCATGTATTCCCCTGTAAATCCCAGGGGACCTGTACCACATCCTCTCCTGATGGCCTGCCAAGACAGCACATATAGGGAGGAAGGAGGCCATCATACCTTGTACCTCCAGCATCACATTCACAAGAGGTTTATCACATTCAGCTCTTTGTTTGCCTTCAGGCTCTGCAGTAAGAAAAATGAGGAAAGATCATCAGTCACAGTCTGCTCCAGGACTGGGGTCACACATCCCAAACCTGCCAGCTCCGCTCAGCCCTGCAGCTCCTGACACAGCTGCTCACAACCACAATGGGAATAACCCATGTAAGGCACTCAGCCTGGCTCACGTGGGCACCTTCAGACACACTGGGACTGGAAATGTTTGTGGTTTTGTAACAACTTCATTTTACCACGTCAAACAGTTTAGCTCAGGACTCAGCGTCCTGCCAAGCAGGACAGGGCCTTTTCCCTCAAAAGTTAAAGGATTGTTTAGAGATCAGCCAAGTATCCAGGGTACCCATGGCAGGAGGAGAGTTAAACCTGCCCTCTGTTCGAGGATGAACGCTGTAGGAGGAGGAGAAAAAGGGGAAAAGAGGGAATATAACAAATCCTGCTGAAATCCCCGCCGGGAATGGAGGTGCAGGATGCCCCCACCCAAACCCTCTGCACAAAACGCAAACCCAGATATCCATCTGAGGGAGTGATCCGACAGCCTGCCCATCCCCTCCCTGCAAACGGCCTGGGGTGCTCCTGGGTCTTTTACCGGGGCAGCACAGGCTGCGCCTGCAGACAAGGTTTTCCGAGGGGGAGACAGCACTGCACAACCAGAGACCAGGGCCCATCCACCTTATCTTCCAGCAAGGCAGCTATCGGTCGGCCGCTCGCCGCGCCTGGCCTGGAGGGGTGGCACGGGTGCCGCCCCGCCCACCGCTCAGCGCGCCGCTATGCCCCTCCCTCACGCAGCGGAAACACGCCCCCCCCTCAGTCACGCATGCGCGCGCCTCTCCCTCCCGCCCCACCACCTTTCCCGCCCGCCTGCCCCGCGCACGCGCACTCCGTTCCCTCCCCTCCGGTCGCACTCCCCGCGCATGCGCGCGCCGCTCCTCCCCTCCGCCCGCGGTTCCGCTCACGCACAGGCGGCACCCGCCCCCCGGCCACACCTTCGGCGCATGCGCGCGCTGGTGACGAGGCAGGAAGGGGTGGGCTGCGCGTGCGCACTCCGCCGGCCCGCGCCCCCCAGCCCACCCCTGGCGCACGCGCAGTCGGGCGGCGGCGCCATCGCGGTGTGAGGGGAGTCGCGCGCGCCGGGGCAGGCCTTAGCCATGTCGGGGTCGGCGGGGTCGGGCGGCGCGGCCGGCTCGGCGCGGAAGCGGCTGATGAAGGAGGAGGACATGACAAAGGTGGAGTTCGAGACGAGCGAGGAGGTGGACGTGACGCCCACCTTCGACACCATGGGGCTGCGGGAGGACCTGCTGCGCGGCATCTACGCCTACGGTGCGCTGCGGGGCCTGGATGCGGGGCCTGCGCAGTGCGGCCGCCCCCTGCGCCGTGCCGGGGCCGCCCCGCTGCCGCTGAAGCTAACGGTCGCCCCCACAGGTTTTGAGAAGCCCTCGGCCATCCAGCAGAGAGCCATCAAGCAGATCATCAAGGGGAGAGACGTGATTGCCCAGTAAGTGGGGCTGCCGGTGGGGTGTTGCCTGCCCGCGGGCGGGAGAGGCTGCGTGCCCTGGAGTGGGGGGAGTCAGTCACACTCCGTGGGAGGGCCGTCACCCGTGGCACTCGGGTGCTGCCTGCAGGATTGGGGAAATCTCATCACGAGTGGTATCAGTGGGAGGTGTCCCCACCCACGGCAGGAGAATGGGAACTAGATGATCTTTAGGGTCCTTTCTAACCCAGACTCTTCTGTGATTTTATGATACGAGGTGAAATTGGCCAACTTGCACATAGACTGTGATCCTAACAGCTCTTAATGTCAATGTTTATTAGGTTTAGGAATGCCAATGTAATAAGTATTCTGAGCCAGCAATGTGCCCTTGTGGCCAAGAGGGTCAATGGGATCCTGGGCTGCGTAGGGAAGAGTGTGGCCAGTAAGTGGAGGGAGGTCATTCTTCCCATCTGCACTGGGGAGGCCACAACTGGAATCCTGTGTCCAGTTCTGGGCTCCCCAGTTCAGGAGAGACAGGAAACTGGGGAACAGGGAACTCTCCAGGGACTAGTGGAGAGAGTCCAGCGTAGGGCAACTAAGATGATTAAGGGATTGGAGCATCTTCCTTATGAGGAAAGGCTCAAAGAGCTGGGGCTCTTCAGCCTGGAGAAGAGAAGGCTGAGGGGAGACCTTAACTACGTTTACAAGTATCTAAAGGGTGGGTTGAAGGAGGATGGAGCTGGACTCTTCTCAGTGGTTCCCAGTGACAGGACAAGGGGCAACAGGCACAAGCTGGACCATGGGAAGTTCCACTCAAATCTGAGGAAGAACTTCTTTGGGGTGAGGGTGGCAGAGCCCTGGAACAGGCTGCCCGGGGAGGGTGTGGAGTCCCCTTCTCTGGAGATCTTGAAGCCCCACCTGGGCAACCCTGCTTTGGCAGGGGAGTTGGACTGGATGATCTCTAGAAGGTCCCTTCCAACTCTGACAATTCCATGATTCTGTGATTCCATGACAATATTGTTTGTTTTCAATTAATAGGACTCTAACACTCTTGGGAATCAAACCCAGAGAAGTATAGAGACAACTGCAGTCTCAGGCAAGGGAAAAAATAAGCAGAAGAAAATCTGTTATGTCTCTAGAGACAAAGAAGGATGTACATCCCACTAAAAAAATTCCTTTCTAGGTCACTAGTGGGAATTGCTAACCTTCCAAATTGTATTGGCTTACCTACCATTTACTTAAATATATATATATATATATATGATAAAAGCATAGAATAGAATCATAGAATGGTTCAGGTTAGAAGGGATCCTAAAGATCACCCAGTTCCCTCCCCCTGCCCTGGGCAGGGACACCTCCCACCAGACCAGGTTGCTCCAAGCCCCCTCCAACCTGGGCTTGAACCCCTCCAGGGATGGGGCAGCCACAGCTTCTCTGGGCAACCTGGGCCAGGCTCTCACCACCCTCACAGCAAAGAATTTCTTCCTGAGATCTCATCTCAATCTCCACTCTTTCAGTTTAAAACGGTTACTCTCTCGTCCCATGTCTCCCCTCCCTGATCCAGAGTCCCTCCCCAGCTTTTCTGAAGCCCCTTTAGGGACTGGAAGGGGCTCTAAGGTCTCCCTGGAGCCGTCTTCTCCAGGCTGAACCCCCCAGTTCTCTCAGCCTGTCCTCCCAGCAGAGGGGCTCCAGCCCTCCCAGCATCTCCATGGCCTTCTGTGGTACCACTGCAACAGGTCCATGTCCTTCCTGTACTGAGGACTCCAGAGCTGGACATGGGACTCCAGGACTCTCACCAGAGCAGAGCAGAGGGGTAGAATCCCTCTCCCTCGCCCTGCTGGCCACACTGCTTTTGATGCAGCCCAGGATGGGGTTGACTTTCTGGGCTGCCAGGGCACATTGCCAGCTCATGTGGAGCTTCTCATCCACCGACACCCCCAAGTCCTTCTCCTCAGGGCTGCTCTCAACCCATTCTCCCCCCAGCCTGGATTTGTCCCTGGGATTGCCGTGGCACAGGCGCAGCACCTTGCACTTGGCCTACTTGAACTTCATGAGGTTGGCATGGTCCCACCTCTCCAGCCTGTCCAGGTCCCTCTGGCTGGTATCCCTTCCCTCCAGCGCGTCGGTCTGATAAGGAGTAAACACACCAGAGCTGGGGACCCTGCGGTAGAGTGCTCTGTCCCCGATGCTGCAGTTCTCAAAGCTGCTAGTCTGCAGATCTCGCTGTGATCGTAACAAAACTTTGTCAGATACTCTGTTGGCAATATTGACTTCGTTGCAATGAAGGAGTGGAAGAGAGCAGAGGGGTGGAATATGTTGAAGTTGTCTGTCTCGTTAGTCCAGATATGCAGAGTGTTCACCAAACATCTGTTTCTCAGGTCACAGTCAGGAACAGGGAAGACAGCAACATTCTCCATCTCTGTTCTGCAGTGTCTGGATATACAGGTAATTTCATAGTTCATAGCACATGTTCAAAAAGTTTTTTAACTGAATCAGTAGAGTCTTCATCATAAAAGCTTTTATTTTTAGAATGAATAAATGAAGCTTTACATTGAAATCCATTCATTATGAAGCTTCAGACAAGTTTCTGTGGGAAATTTCACCAGACTCTACTCTGTAACAATTTAGCTGCTAAACCCACCTTGGCAAAATAAGTTCAGATAAATTGTTGTAATTATAAAGTGGCTTTAACAGCTCACCTCTTCCACATACTTTGTTATTAGAGAGCTAAACTAACCCTCCAGCAGGTAGAGCACCATTGACATCCTGTCTCAACAGCTGGTGCATGTTGAATCAAACGTAGATTTTTGACTGACAAATGTGTGGTTTTGTTCTAGTCAGGGTTCTTGTGTCCATCTGATTGTTTTTTAAGTATAATTTGAATGTGTAGATGCTGTTGAATAAAAGTATGATTTTCTGTGGGCCAATACGATCTCAGATAAAGCTGGGATTGTTTGTCAGATGTCACTGCCTGGGGACATAAAAATAAATGTTGCATGTTCTAAAGGAAAAAGTCAGCTTTGTGCTTCATTTCTGTTACTTGCTCGTAATATTTTTCAAATGTGACACTTTAAAACATTATCTTGGAATCCTCATGCAATGCAAGGTTTTTATCTGAACTGAACATATGAAATTGAAGTGACTTAAAGTTATTCTTTTGCAAGAAAAGTACATGCTTTCATAAGTGTTTTCAGAAATCTGATTGGAATGAAAAATGAGCTATTGAAGAACTGCTTAAGTGCTGTCTTGTCAAAAGTAACTTAAGTGGATGTTACTGCGTCAATGCTCTGTGTGAGAGCAGCTTTCGAGGTGTACTGACCCTTGTGAACACTAGGTTTTAGCACAAAATTCTATGATTAATCCTTCAGATGTTACATTTAAGAGTACTGTGGGATCTGTAATCTCTGTTATGCTGGGATGATACCTGCCCTGTGATTAACTGTCATGTGATCACCTGTTTTAATGAGGTTCGTGAGACCCAGGCGTTGATCTTGGCACCAACTCGGGAGCTGGCTGTCCAGATTCAGAAGGTAGGAGCAGTTAAATCATCCTCTGTAAAGCACTCGCAAGGCCTGGGCCGATTCTCAGGTGTTCCCCAGCAGAGCTGAAAGCACAGCTGCTGCTTTTCCTTTGTGTTCCTGGAAGGAATAACAAATTCTCATAAAGGGCAGTTTTGCTCATCTGCTTTACATCTGTTCTTGCTTACATGACCCCGTTGGCTAGCGGTTTAAGGTTTTACACATTCCTAACTGAAATGTTAAGAACAGCACTTCTAAAGCGGCTCTGACCCCTGGGGAACCGAGTTCACAGTGTTTGAAAGCCTGCTGTTGAGGGGGTTTGGGTAACAGACATCAACAAATCCCTCCAACTGCTTGTGCTTACATCTCTCTTAAAAAAAAAAAACACTGTGGTTGTGCAGGGCTGCATCTCTTCATGGGAGCTCAGTTAATTAAGCTATTCCTTTGTATCAACATAGGGTCTTCTTGCTCTGGGAGACTACATGAATGTCCAGTGTCACGCCTGCATTGGAGGGACCAACGTGGGTGAAGATATCAGGAAGCTGGATTACGGGCAGCACGTTGTTGCTGGCACTCCAGGCCGTGTGTTCGGTAAGGAGATGTGGGAGGCTGCATCACCTCCAGGTTCAGACTTGAGCTGAGCCCTGGGAACCTGCTGCAACTTTTGTGCCCTTAAATTTGAAATAGCATGAAAATTACATTTATTGTGACACCACTAATGTAACATTAATGTGA